TGTAAAGGTGAATTTCACAACATGACCTGCACTGACAAATCAGTTTTAAACTAGAGCTCAATGTTACTCTTCAATATTTGAGGTCTGTAAACTGCCACATGTATGATCTGTGCTTTAAACTTTCCTGTCATTTCTTCCCTCTAATTTCTTTAGAGAAACCCTTATTCAACAAACATTAACCAAGCACTTACTCTGTGCCAGACCCTGGGCTAGCCACAGGAACAAAATAAAACTTATACTTGGGCTGACCATACAGTAGGATATTTCAGGAAATATGGTTCAGGAAAGAGATTCACCTAAAAACCACAGGGACACTTATAATAGTTCTTACAGTTGAATGATTTTACTCTGCCACTATTCTGTCAGAAGTGAATAAATCCTGTCTTTAGAATGTGTTCTTCCTAGAGTAGGTTATGGAACTTACATCTCTAAAGCAAGGTCTCTGACAGAATTCAGGGAGTCTGAGAATTTGGACGAAAATAATTTTATCTTTATTTTCACTAGCCTCTAACAAATTCACCATTTCCTTCAATTAACCTCTGACAAATTCACCGTTTCCTTCAGTTATAAACATAAGTCACAACAGTAATAGTAGACTTAGTAGACAAATAAATTTGTCACCAATAGAAATCATGGATATTTTCATATCACATTACACTTGTTACAAATATCTTGAAAGTGTTCAAACCCATGACCATTTAAAAATTATAAGACCCACTGGTAGATAATAAACATTATTTATTATGTTAATAAAAAACACATATAATGCTATATCGCACGTTTGGAAAATACTTTGATAACTGTATTTCAATATAGTTGTTTTTCCTTTATAATTCTATGTATTTTATTTTTTGTATATAAAAACATTATTCTAAAAAGGGACTCCACAAAGTTTCTCCATACTGCCAAAGGGGCTCATAACATAAAAAAAATTAAGACTCCTGTTACAGGGCCAAAAAGTAAACAAATATAATCACATCTAAGGTAATTGTCTGTAGGTAAAAGATGACCTCTGTTTTTTATTAAGGGTCATACACTCCTTTTATATAGAGCAAAGCCCATATGTCACTATTTTTAGCACTCAAAACTGGTTTGCAAATACTTATGAATATGGTATAACAGCCAGCAGATCCATGGGCTCCCTGGCTCATCCTAGTCCAAAAACAAAAGCCTCAAACTAATATAACTTTCAATTTATAAGAGAGTTACCAAAAGAAAGGGGGGAGGAAAGACATATACATAAAGCCTGCTATATATCTATCTACTAACCTAATTTGCAAACAGTAAAATAGACAATTCAATTATTTATGTTCATGAGATAAGGTATGTAAACAAACCTAACACAGTGCCAAATATATATGAAAGACTCACAGTTTCTTTTATTTTTCTGAAGTGGAGCTCTGGTATATACTGCAAAATAGAGTATGTAAAAATGTACATTCCCTGAATTTATCAACTAAATTGCAGAAGGGAATTAGGACTTAAATTTTGCCACAAATCATCCATAAAGCAATTAACAAATCACATTTGGAACACGTGTCTAGGTACTCATTTAATAGAAACACTGTGAAAAGAGGTTAGGACTAAACACAGAAAGGTTTATGCTTAGGAAAGAGGTCAAAGGATGTAGGAAAGAGGAGGTGCCAGAAGTCACCAAGCAGATAAGCAGAAGCGTTGACAACACCTAGAGTTATTTCCTCACTCTTTTCCTAAGTCATCCTGTTTTTCTAATATAATTGATATGGTAATAATGTAAAAGATGTAGAAGCAGCCAGCCACAATCTTGAGCAAAAAAGGACCTCTCTTGGTCCAGTGATGATTGGCAAATACTCTGACTTTAGGGTTTCTCTTACTAGAAAAAATACAAAGAAAGATGAAGACTTTTAGAAAAATGCGTTCTTCCTAAACCATTTCGAGGTAACACAAACTTTAGTGTAAGAGAGACCTATTTCTGTTTGATCAGAAGGGGGAATTATTTCTATTAGCAGAAAAGCAGAAAAGTCAGAAGGTCTGGTTCTATATCAGAGTGATGCAAATACTTGGAAATAAAAGCATGATGCCTGAGCAAGAAAACTACTATTAGTAGTAGATATTTTGTCATTATCCATCATTAATAAGAATAGAAAATTTGTATGCTTGCTTTTTCTTTGAGCATTTCATTCCCATCAGCACTTAAACAGCATGTCTAGGAGAGGTTATCCAAATCCCTAGGAAAACCTCATCTAAGCTGGAGGTTAGAGAGCTCTCTGTGGGAATCATGAATGGGGTCAGATGGTTTACAAACTCCATGAGATTGTATACAAAATTTGGTAAGTATGCATATATTTCAGATTATTAAAGGGCTATTTAATCACAAGAACAGCTACCTCTGCCATGGTTAGAAAATCTAAAACAAGAGAAAACAACAATGCTTCCCATAGTCACAGAGTGAGTCAATGCTAACATCAGATAAAGTGATCTGGGACTTCTGAATCCAAGGTTCTATCTGATTAGATCATTCTCCTTAAGAGATCACATATCCAAAGAGGAGGTCCACAAGAAAAATAAAACCCCACCTGTTTATGGGAGGAGAAATCACAGGCTGAGTGGAGAATAAAGCTTATTCTTTATCAATCAGGCCATCACACTGGTTTTCAAAGGGAATTTGCAAAGCAGGCTAGGTCAAAAAGAATCATTTCATTCAGCAAACACAAAAGACCCCAGAGGGAGTACTGCAGTCCCCAAATCTTAGTCTCTCTTCTTTTACGGTCTCTTACCTTGAAGTATATATTCTGTTCTAGAAATTTTTCAGTAGTTCCTTTTAGTTATGTAGAATGTAAGTCAACTAAACATCTGATGTCCTAGAAAAAGGTGTAACTAGCCATACTTTTTTTTTTAGTGAAACAAGGGCTATCTCCCACCATTCCCAACTCATTCCTACTCCAGAACCTTTCTGAACTCTCTTCCCCTATTATAAAGGGTATGTATGTGTACAGGGGAGGGCTGACTATTAGGTTATCAGATTAATACAGTGTCTGATAAGTTTAAATGACCTCAAGCTTCTCTTATTACATCTTTTTAGAAAGCACTGGGTGGCACAATCAATAGCATCTTCTACAAAAGGGCTGTAAGAGAGGAAGAAGTAGTAACACTCACTTAATTTCATCTGCATCACTAACAGGCCTCATGAGAGGGAATGAGTAGGAAATAAAACCAGCAGCTAAAACTCCATTTGAATTACCACAGCATGGTATCACTCCCAGTATGCTAGTGTACTATTCGCCTCCAGTACACAAATCACTGAGTTGCATAGCTAAATACATTAAAGCCTCTCCCATTGTTGACATTCCCAGTGTCATTCTTTTGTCCACCTTTCTTCCCCATAATGGCCAGCATCTGTTTACCACTATTACTGCACCAAATCCCTTTCTCAATATCTTTTTACCAGCAATTCTCTGTACTTGCAGAATCACTAAGTATCAGGATCGAATAGGATCTGAAGGTCACTCTTCCTACTTTCGTTTTATTCTTGGCAGAGTATTTTCTGTTTCTATCTTCAATTCCCTTCCCAAGCCTTGCTACTACCCTCGAGCTTCCCCTTACTCAATGTCTATCCCTAGCAGTTTCTCCTACTGCAAACCCCTAAATCCTCACTGCCTCTATAAATATCACTGTCCCTATTTCAATATAACTTCTGGTTCTCCCAAGTGAGATCCTGAATTTCAGCTCTCAGTCATAACTAGTCACCTCAGTTACATTCAGGAAGCCTTCTCCAATTAAGCCAATCCGATAGAGCTGCGTTCCCCAGACCAGTACTGTCCCCCACACCAACGCCGTCCCGTCCGTGGAAAAACTGTCTTCCATGGAAACTTAGGAACGAGGCCACACAGCAAGAGGAGAGCGGCTAGCCAGCTTATTTAGAGCTGCTCCCCATCGCTCACATCACCGCCTAAACACTCGCCCCCGCCCTGTAGAAAGATTGTCTTCCACGGGTCCCTGGTGCCAAAAAAGGTTGGGGCCCGCTGCTACAGTGAGCTATGATAGTGCTACTGCACTCCAGCTCCAATTTGAGCAACAGAGCAAGACGCCGTCGCTAAAAAAATTTTTAAAGTTAACAATCTGGGCCAATGTTTTTCAAACTTTTTTACTACATTTTACTTCACACATTTTAAGACGTACAAAATCTATTTTACATCACGATCTCATACACACACAATTGAAACAAATTTCATGAAACAATACTTACCTTTACTATGTGAACACACTGAAAATTTCTATTCTATTCCATTTTTTTAAAAAAATTACAGGTGCCATCCACTAAATTGATTTCATAACCCAATAAGAGGATAGAACCCATAGTTTGGGTGACATTAAACTAGTCCAAACTTCCCTTTCACTGATGAAGGAACTGTAACTCAGTAGAGAGGTAAGTTTCCCAGACACTCGAAGTTTGTCCATAAAGTTAAACTCACGTCTAAGTTGTAGACCAGTGTTCTTTCCGTTAAAGACCTTCGCTGCCCAGTCGCAATTACGCCCCGTGCCCAAACAGCTCTACAATACCATCACCAATTACTGATCCTATACTCTTCTCCAAGTCAGCTCCTCAAAGTCGCTGCTCCTTGGTCAGAGTCCCCCCTGCAGCCCCTGCTTCATGTTTTCCTAGGTCACAGTTCCCCCACAGTCACCATCCATCGATCAGAGTCTCCTCGGAGTCGCTGCTCCTCGGTCACAGTCTCTTGAGGTCACTGCCGCATACTTCTTCAGTCAGAGTCCCGTCAGAGCCTCTGCGTTGTGCTCTCCGAGGTCAGACTCCTTCGTATTCAGTGCTCTAGGGTCGCAGACCCCTTGCAAGCGGCTACAGCTCGGTCACAGTCCCCTCGGTCACAGTCGCCTCGCAGCCCCTGCCTCACACTCCCCTCGCTGTCACTGACCCATTCTTCCTTCAGTTTCCTCGCCGTCCCAGTCCCACAGTTTCTCCTCTCAAACAGAGCTGCAAGGATATGCACACATTGGTCTCTCACCTGAAACTCACGCTCCCTCGACCCCAATCCCTTCAGATTTCTGCCGGGCGCCGCGTCACTGACTAGGGAAGTTAGGGAGGTTGCGGGGAGACGCCCGAGAAGGCAGCTGACGGAGCAGCAGCCCGGAAGTCCCGCCTCCAGCCCGCCCTCTTGCCAATCCGACCACGACTTCTCCCCGAAAACCACGACCCTTGACACAGTAGTTCCGCCTCCATAGAGGCCCCAGGGATGAAGAGACGGAGCAGAAACACCAGACACAGGAGATGGAATGGCGAAGGGTCAGTCTCCACCCGGAACTGGACAACGCAATGAAGACGCCTCCTCGTAGTAGGAGACGGATGTGAACTGTCGTCAGTGCTCGGTGACAGTCCGTCAGGAAGCGATACCCTATGGCTCCCCCTTGGCCCAGTTCTGGGCCATGTCCCCCGCAGACGACCTGTGGTGGTCCTTCCTACTGTACCCAGCGCCTGGCCCAGCGCTAGACGCTCGCACCCGGGCATTCACAGTGCAGAGGCCCCAACGCCCCCGTCCGCAACTGCATCACCACAGCGCTAGATTTTAAGGGGAATTTGCGTCCGCCAACCAAGTCTGGTGAAAACCTGTGCCTGACCCAGCCCTCTTTCTCCCTGTTATTTCTGAACCAGGTTGGCTCATCAAAAAATGATCCCTAGGAATCAAATGAGAGGTAGTTGAGCAGGAGTGGATTCAAGGGAGGCACTGGTAGTAAAGCACGTGTACTAGGGTGGATGGTGAGGAGAAACGTTTTCCGTTGCTAAAGTGAACCTTTGGAAGGGTCCCTTTTTGATTCCGTAGATGTTAAGGCAAGTGGGTAACACAAGGTTGTGGAAAAAGTTTTAATGCAAAAGAACTTTTTAATGTATTTACTTTTTTTTTTTTTTTTTACTTGAAAATGGCTGAGAAGAAAGACACGTAAACTTGTGCACCTGCTGAAGAGCCTCCGTGGAGGAAAAAAGGATTTAAGTCTGAGTTTCAAAGAGGTATTTGAACACGGCTGATAGACTGAGGTGTCCCAAATAAGGACAGCTAGCTGAGGAAGACACCAGGGCCTCTAGGAGAACATCCTACAAAGATAGTAAGAGCGTGGATAGTAACCAACATAAGAATTTCGGAAAGTCTTAAAAGTGGGCTAATTTCATACACAGCTTGGAACCTCTCAGACCCTAACACTGTACTGTAGAAAATGGATGTGTGTTTAAACTAATAAGCTATGTAAGGCATAGGATGGCAACTGCTTAGCAAAAACACTGAGAGAGATAAAGGCAACAATTCAAAACATAGGAAAAAGCTTTATGCACAAATGAATTCATCTCTGTATTTTTACAATAGTGAAAAATTAGAAATAAGCAGTCCCTCGATAAGGAAATAGCAAAAATAACAATGGTATAATCCAATGGAATAAATGCAGCTATTAAATTATGCTTCTGAAAATCATAATGCAAATAAAATGACATAAAAACAGCTTATAACATGAGAAAGTGAAAAATCAGGATACAAAATTGCATACATGATTTTTTAAAATCTTGCAAATAAAAAAAAACACTGGGAGTTTGAGGTTGCAGTGAGCTATGATGATGCCACAGCACTCTCTCCCAGGGCGACAGAGACTCTGTCTCAAAAAAAACGCCGGTAGAAAATACGCCAAAATATTTACAATTGATTATGTTTGAACAACTGAAACAGATTTTTTCCTACTTTTCTTCTCTATTTTCCAAATGTAATGAGAACATACAACAAAATCAAAATATTAAAAATATAAGGCCTAAAGATATAAACTATTATGTACCCATAAAAATTTTAAAAATAAAATATATATGTATATATAAAGGCCTAAAACACAACAGATTCAGTTGCCAAACTGCCAACTTATCTTTATTTTGTTAAGACATTTAACAATATAAAAAAGTTCAGATTCTTCATGGTCAGATCTTTTCCCAGCTTTTCAAAAATATTCAATAGTAGAAACAGCCAAATGCTGCTACAACACAGAATAAACTGTCCTAAAAAATAAAACAGAACACACACACACACAAAATCCAGAATGTTAGTACTAATAAGGGAATAAGGGGAGCACACCATCCCAAGTCTTTGCCAATTTTCAATTATGAAGACTTTTTCCTTCTTCAAGAATAAGGATTTCCAGACTATAGCTATAAAGTTGCTTGCCTGAGAGTAATTACAAAATTGCTTGCTAAAAGGTTAGGATGGGTAAAGAATTAGATTTTCTGAATGTAGAAATAAAATGTGAACTAGTGAACTTTAGGTAATGAATATTCATAAAATAATTATTCCCACATTTCCTGATTTATCAGAGAAATAAAATATGAAACGCTTTGCGTTTCTTGGAGTAAATGCATTACCCAACCGAAGAAACTATATTATAATCTAAGCTATATTAAACTAAACTTTATCATTGATAATAGGAACAATAGCACCTTGTCATAAATTCTGAATAAGGGAAATGGTCTCTGAGTGTATATTCTTAATTGATAAAATTTATTTGTCCATATTTTAGCTCAGAATCTCAAAATGCTTTCCAGAGCCCAGTTAAACTTGTTAAAACACTTTTTAGGTATTTATTACAGGCATTCCACCTGCCTCAACAACTCCTTAACCACCAGCCTCACCTCCAGACTGTTAATGATGGAAGAAAAACAATTTGAACTCAAGTACCTGATTATTAACCAAAAGCAAAATGCTTTGGTTTAACCCAGCTCCCTGACTCCTGGGGTGGATAACTCTGAGCTGTGTTCTAAAACAGTGCTATCTCTGGTGAAGGACCTGTTTTTGTGTTTGTTTTAATTTTCAGTTCCCCATGGAATATTTTTGTAAAATATAACAAAAATAACTCAAAATGAAAAAAAAAGGAACATACAAAATACAGCCCAAACTTTTTATAATATTGAGGGACATAAAATTATTTTGTCAAATTGCTGTAAGTACTCAATGTATGTACTTATCTCATCATGGATGTGTAACAAATAGGTCACAGACTGGCACTTGCCTGGGGACCCCACTTTGAGTGGCACTGTTCTACCTAGAGTTCTCCAGCAGGACTGAGCCCCAGTTATCCACAGCAATTATCTGCTCAATAGCATATGTTTTTCCCTCCTCTCCTGATTCCTCATCCTCTACTAGTGCTTCCTGGGATCTTCTCCCAAATAAACAAAGTGCTTTAAGCTCTGAAAATGAAACCTAAATAAAAACCTAACTCAACAACCTGGACAAAAGATACAATAGACTAAGTCAGCAACCTAAACCAGGCTCTCAAAAGTGATTTCTAGCTGCCTCCTCCACCAATCCTGTGTTCTAAAACCCAAACCTGATAATCCTGATTGAAGTAATAACTGATAAAGTTTTTAATTACATTAATTACATTTATTCATTTGAGTATGACTGGCCCCCCTTGAATTATAAGCTCTCTACAGGCAGAAACCATGCCTGTCTTATTCATCATTTTATTCCTAGGCCCTATAGTACAGAAGCTGGCACATAATAGGAGCTCAGAACTATTTGCTGAATGAACGAATTATACCATATAAGGACTCAGGAAAAGCTGCATTTTTAACTCCAAGAAGCAAAAAGACCATCACCTCAGCTTGACTCTTCCCCCAAAGAGAGCTGATAAATGAAGATTCCCATAGTACTTCCCACTGCCCAGCCCTTGATCCTAAGGTAGCTGAGCATAAAATAAAACTTTGGTAGGACCATAGTATTTTAGAGCTAAGAGGTACCTTAAAATCATCTACACAAGCAGCTTCAAAACCTGGCATTCAATAGGATCATGTAGGGAACTTTTTAAAAATTCAGATTCACTGATCCAACTATTTGATCAGGATCTACTTGAGTAGGGCCCCAGCATTTATAATTTAAACAAGTTCCTCAAATTACTCTTAGGAGCCACAGCCAGTTTTTGGGGAAATCTATTAGAGCTTCCTAATGTTACTGACACAATGTGAGAAAAATCCAATGACTTACCTAAAGTCATTCAATTAGAAAGTGACAGAGCCAAAAATGGAACCCCTCTTTCCTAATTTACTCAATCCAGTTTCTTTATTATTTTATTTTATTTTTTTTAGATTATTAGAGACGGGGTCTCGCTCTTGCTCAGGCTGGTCTCAAACTCCCGAGCTCAAGCAATCCTCCTGCCTCGGACTCCCAGAGTGCTAGGATTACAGGCATGAACCACTGCTCCTGGCCTCAATCTGGTTTCTGTTCTACTCTATTCTACTTTAACTCTGATTCTACTAATCCATAACCTGGGAGTATATGAATAGAGGATGGGATTATTTCTGGAGCAAGTATAAAATAACAACATGTGATTAAAATATTAAAAAAATTGTGCCAATGACTTACCAATGTTTAAATGTAACCTCTTTAAAGATTATTCATTATTTTCATTTAGATTTGAGAAATGGCTTTAAGATAAAGTAATTAATTTTATTTTGCTCATGGAATCCCCACCATCCAGATTTTTTGCAGCTAAGCAAAGTGTGATTTATTCAAACAAACAAATAAGTAATTAAAAATTTTAGTTAGCAATTATTACTTTAATATGGATTATCAGGATTGGGTTTTAGAACATAGTAATTTATGGAGGAGGTGACTAAAAATAATTTTTAAATAATAATGGTAAATAAATAATATGCTATTCCCAAATTCAAATCTGTGAAGACTTATATCATCTGCAAACATAACAAGTTTCCTTGCCTATAAGCAGCACTAGGTTTCTGTGAGCTAGGCTGACACCACGGCACTCTAGCCCAGGCAACAGAGCGAGACTCTGTCTCGGAAAAAAAAAAAAAATCATCTCATCCAAAAGAAGTCTAAAACAAACATCTAAAAACTAAAGTGTTCTTACATCTTACTACGTATTGAGCAATTTGATTTGGAATGCCCACATGTCCTTAGAAAGAAAAAAAGGTTTCCAAATAGACTTACATTCATGAAAACATCATGAGTGTAGTTGTCAGTGTCAGCATCCCAGAAACATCGAGCAGCCATGCTAAAAAGTCAAAGAATGAAGAATTATCAACAATATAACAAGGATCTGAACTACATATATCTACCATGAGCAAAAGATTTCCTCAATACATTCCTATAGATCTGTGCTTCCAAACCTTTTCACAAGTTGGCACACAGAGAAAATCATATTGGTACAGCAGAGTAACTGGGTAAAACTGGAGAGCCTAGAGTCATAGATAAAGCTTCTTACAGCTACAGGTGACCAGCCAGGGGCTCTAGCAGCCTCATATGCTGACTGGCTGCCTGACAGCTACAGGGATCAATACCCTGAAGTCTTTGGTATTCTGGGTGGGAAGTTCTGAATAGAATACTTCAGCTAACATATTTGTGTGTGACTTTTAATGAGCTCAATTCCTGTACAATATTAGGAGGAGGAAAGGATGGAAAGGGCCCAATAAATTATTTAGTCCAGCCCAATAATTTTATAGATTCCCAGAAAAGAAAGAAGCAAAGTCTGAACTAGAATTCAGTCTTCTAGCTAATTCTAAATCCAGTATTATCTCTACAGGATGCTATGCTACCTCTAAATTCTCAAATTGGCCATTCTCTTCTCTCCAATTCTTGGGTATGAAGAAAACATTAAAAATTTCAAAATAAAAATCAATTAAAAAGTGGAAACAATTTAAATGTCTACTAGGACTGGATTGGTAAATAAAATTATGATATTTCCTGGCAACAAAATTCTATGCAGCCATTAAACTATTAAAGAAATATTTTGCAAGCCAGGCACAGTGGCGCACACCTATAGTCCCAGCTACTCGGAAGGCTGAGGCAGGGGGATAGCTTGAGCCCAGGAGTTTGAGGCTGTAGTGCACTATAATTGCACCTGTGAAGAGCCTCTGTATTCCAGCCTGGGCAATGTAGCAAGACCTCATTTCTTTAAAAAAAAAAAAACGCCAAGTGCCATGGCTCATGCCTGTAATTCCAGCACTTTGGGAGGCCAAAATGGGAGCATTGCTTGAGACCAGGAGTTCAAGACCAGCCTGGGCAACATAAGGAGATCTCATCTCTACAAAAAAGAAAAAGAAAAAAAAATACAAATATTTTACATTTTTATTAAACATATGGACATGATCATTAACATTTATTGAGTGCTTACTTTGTGCCAGGCACTAATCTAAGTGCTTTTACATGTAATAACTCACTTAATCCTAAGAGGTAGGTACTGCTATAATACCCATTTAATAAATGTGGAAACTGAAGGTCAGAGAAATTGAGTAAAGTGCCCAATTTTAGTTATTATTACTTTAGTAAGGATTATCAGGATTGGGTTTTAGAACATAGTGATTTATGGAGGAGGTGACTAAAAATAATTGAGCAGCCTAATAAGTGTCACAACTAGTAAGTGACAAAGCTTAGCTTTGAACCCAGGTACTTCAGAACCCACGCTTGCAGAGAAAGACATACCATATTATATTGGTTCATTTTTTAACATTATTTTTTTTAAAGTTTTACATAGAAGAGCTCCCCTCATCCTAGTATTTTACATATTTTTAAATCAAAAAAGTTCCATCTATTTCTAAACTGTAGCAATAACAATATGAAGTAAAATTAACCTACTTGGTCAATCAACATGTATTTATTTAGCAATTACCATATGCTAGAAAGATTAAAATCTGGCCATATTCTCAAACAATTCCCAATTTAATTACATAACAAAATTAACACATTTCAAAAGAATAAGATAATGCAGACTTGGTGCTAATTTATAAATTATTAGGATTAAAAGAGATTGTAAAGTCATCTAGTCTACATATCCAACTTATGTAATATTTGAGTTAAATCCATAGAAGTGCTACAGAGAATTTAGAGAGGAAAAAAAGCCAAAGACTTTATGAAGGAAGTGGTACTTAAACTGAATAGAATCAAGTGAAGACACAAATATAAAAACTTATTTAACAAACATCTGCTGAGTATCTATTATATACCAGGCAAAATATTAGGTGCAAATGATACAAAGATGCCTAAAACACAACCCTTACCTTCAAATTGCTGTCTCCTTACACCATTTCCCAATAAAAGGAACCAGGGCTCCTTAGAGAAATGGCCAATGCCAGGTCTGGGGATGGAAATGTATAAGATAAACCTGGGACATCTGAATCATGCCAAAAACCTGGGCCACACCAGGAATAATGCTATATATATATATATATGATATATTAAATATATAGAAAATACATATTATATATATAAAATACACAATACACACACACACACAGAGGTGTGTCAAAAGAACTTATTAATAGAAGAGGTATGATAGAAGTGATATAAAATTGATCTTAGCCAAAAGGCCAAGAAGCAATGATAGAACAGTTTGTGGCAGGCTAATGCTCCCACCAAGATCAACAAGAAAACCTGGATAAAATGAATCAGAGCGCTACTAAAGCAAACAGGCCTAGAGGAGCCAAAATTCCAGAAAGGCGAACTCCAGTAGGTAAGATGATATTCTGCAGCAGATTGTTCCTTAGGGCATTTGCCAATTCTGGACACAGGGATAGAGGCTGAGAATCTGGGCTTTGCTCAGGTACAGGACCAATTATTGAGGGGAAAAGAAACCAGCAGGATTGCTGGCAATATTAACAGGGCTAGGGAGATAAAATTGGAGTCTGGAGGGAATAAGATCCTTGTAAAAAAGGAGACGGTAGCAGTGAGTCTGTCACATGGTAGATTTTCTTTTCAAAACATGCGCTGAATTCTGAAACTATAAGAAGGAACCTAAAAAGCTAAGTGTGCTAGGTAATATAATGGCCCACCAAATATGCCTATGTCCTAATCTCCTGTGAATATGTTACATTACATGACAAAAAGGGCTTTGCAGATGTTTGCTTAAGTTAAGGATCTTGAGATAGGGACATTATCCTGGATTATTCAGGTGGGCTCAATGTAATCCAAGGGTCCTTACAAAAGAAAGAGGGAGGCAGGAGCCAGAGAGAGAGATCTGAAGATGCTATACGATGCTGGATTTGAAAATGGAGGAAGGGTTTAGGAGCTAAGGAATACAGGCAGCCTCTGGCTGGAACAGGCAAGGGAATGGATTCTCTCCTAGAATCTCCAGAAGAAATGCAGCCCTGCTGACACCTTGATTTTAGTTCAATAAAACCCATTTTGGATTTCTGATCTCCAGAACTACAAAATAATATATTTGTGCTATTTTAAGCACTGGGTTTGTGATAATTTGTTACAGCAGCAACAGGAAACTAATACACTAAGGAAAAAGCTTATGAAATGAAGGACAAAATTTTATGGTGAGACAAGGGCTAAAAGTCAGTACCTGTTGGGGTTGGAGGGCCAATGAACACTCAAGGTTCTTGTTTGAAAGACTTGTAGTGCTACAATTAAGAAAGAAGGGGTGTGCATTCTGGAACTGGGGGAAACAAGAAAAAAATAAAAAGAAAGAAGGGTGAACTTAAGATAGAGCCTTATCAAAACTGCAACCCAACCCCAATTCAGCTCAGTACTTGACTGGATTAAGGTAAGAAGCCCATACTCTACCTGTACAGAAGACAGAGTTAAACCCTTTGTGGAAGAAAATAATATCAGCTGGAGGTCTATAATTTTTTTAACACAATGTCCAGGATTCAAACTAGGCAAACTTCTGTCTGTGCATAGGGACTAAAAAAGAAACAAAAAGAAAAAAACAAAACAAAACTAGGCATACCAAGAGATAGAGCCATATAAATGATTATCAAGAAAAAAAATCAATGGAAACAGATTCATACATGATCCAGACACTAGAGAAAGCAGCTAATGACTTTAAAATAAATACTATGACAAAAATGTAAAAAGAGAGAAGAGAGGAAAAATGGAAGCATAGATGAAAGGATAAAAGTGTTCACTAGAGAATTAAAATCTACAAAAAATAATTAAATGGAAATTCTAAAACTGAAAAATATAATAACTAAAATTAAGAACTCATCAGATGGGTTTAAGAGCAGATTAGAGGATTAATGAACTGCAAGGTCAATAGAAAAATACACACATTGAAGCAGAGAGAGGAAAAAGTAAAATTCAAAAAAAGAGTATAAGAGGCCAGCTGCGGTGGCTCACACCAGTAATCCTAATATTCTAGGAGGCCAAGGTGGGAGGATGGCTTGAGGCCAGAGTTCGAGACCACCCTGAGCAAGAGCAAGACCCATTTCTACAAAAAATAGAAAAATTAGCCGGGCGTGGTGGCACGTGCCTATAGTCCCAGCTACTTGGGAGGCTAAGGCAAGAGGATTGCTTGAGCCCAGGAGTTTGAGATTACAGTGAGCTATGATGATGCCATTGTACTGTAGCCCAGGCAACAGAGTGAGATTCTGTCTCAAAAAAAATAAAAAAAATAAAAAAATAAAAAAAGGACTGACAGTATTTTAGAGGGGATAATGATATTTTATTATGTTAAAAAGGGGTATTATCTTTTAGAGATAAATACTGTTGTATTCACAAATGAAACGGAATGATGACTAGAATTTCAAAATAATCTGGTGGGGCAAGGAGAATAGGTGGGAGTAAAAAAAAAAACTTCAGTATGTGTTGATAACTATTGAAGCTAAGCAACAGAAGCATAGGAGCTGTTTAGTACATGTACTTTTGCATATATTTGAAATTTTAGATGATAAAAGTTTTTTTTTTTTTGAGACAGAGTCTCGCTTTGTTGCCCTGGCTAGAGTGAGTGCCGTGGCCTCTAGCTCACAGCAACCTCAAACTCCTAGGCTCAAGCAATCCTCCTGCCTCAGCCTCCCGAGTAGCTGGGACTA